ATTGTGTTGTAAAATTACAATTGTGTGTATATATCTCAAAATTCAGTTTTTTTCCCTCAAAATTGCAAGTTTGTGTCACAGCAGCAAGTTATGAACTCTTAATTCTGAGTTTATGTATCACAATTTTTTACATTTTTCCTCAGAATTGCGAGTTATTAACTCTTAATTGCGAGTGCACATCTTGCAATTGACGTTTTCCCGAAAATTGTTAGACTCTTAACTTGATCGCATGCCAGGTCAGAATTATGAGATGTAATCTTGCATTTCTGAGAAAAAACAACTCTGAATTTTGCAACTGGAAGATATAAACTCTTCAGAAAAATAGTCTGAATTGTGAGATATAAACTCACAGTTGTGTTTTAATAATTGTATTCTGTGATGGAAATAATCTTCCAGACAGAACTCATGCTGATGCCGAGACGATGCTGTTAGTGCTTCAAAAGAAGAGCATTCAGAAGAAGAATCGTTCTCCTGGTGAACATGATGATTTAATATGAAGAGGATCAGTCCTGCTGTACAGCATACTGTCATGCCTTCATTATATATGTCTGAAAGCACAGGATAAAGTCTTACAGTTTGGAAATATTTGTACATTAAATATTAAACAACGTTTGAAGAGTGAAATCATTGATTTTCTTTTTATCACAGCATCACAATACAATAGAAGACTTCTGTGATGTTCTGTGGTTTTAGTTGGTTTGTGTTACTTAAAATATTTAATCTTGTTTGAACAAAATCATCAAAAAAAAACAAAAAAACAGCTGAATATGATATTAATGATTGTCTTTATAAACACTCTCTTGGTGAATGTGTTCTGTCCAGCAGAGAGAGCTGCAGCTGCATACAGACACTAAACAGACATAAATAAGAGACTTGACTGAACAGAAACACCTCTTGAAATCATCATTAAGACTTTCTTGTATCATTTCAGAGTTTTTATTTATTTTTAATGTCAAATTGATCATCCAAGCATTAGATGATCCAGCGGCCGAACTTAAAAACACTGCGGGCCGCTAGTTACCCTTCCCTGATTTACCTCAATGAACAAATGTATCATTTAACCTCTATAACTGAAATACACAATCATTCATTTAGTCTTATGTTGAACAAATATTGAAATTGTGATATAGATTGAATATTGGAAACATGATGAGTGTAAAAGATGAAAGCAGGTCGATCCAGAACTACAGGTGTAACATTTACTGACTATTGAACGTTAAGATCCTCAGAGAGCACGAGAAACCACAGAAGAAGAAAGGAAAGAGTGTGTGAGTGAAGGAGGTTGTGAATGTGTGTAGATGTGTGTTAGTTACAGGATCAGAGAATGACACCGTTCCTCTGTCATAGTCCAGATCAACTCTCACACGCTCAAGCTTCTGTTTAACACCAAAACCAAACTGATCAAAATATCCGTGCTGCACACTCCAGACATCAGTGTTAAAGAAAACATCTCCCTTCCTCTGGTTTGATGCTGTAGTTACTCCAAGAATCCAGAGTGAACTCTCTTTAACCTCCACATCCCAGCAGTGTGTTCCTGAGTT